ATGAGATAATCATAGTTTCACAATTGATAAACTAGGTTTATCGACTGTAAACTGTGTGTACAAACCGTAAAATAGTTAACAATTCGTTAAGTATAGTTTTCATCTGTAAAACTATATTTAACGGTTGTTAACTATATTTTAGTGTTTACGAATGTTAATTTAAGTTTATCTGTCTGTTATGGCACGGATAATCTAGGTTTATCGGTTGTAAACTTTAGTTTACGGACTGTAAACTATAGTTAACAACATTAATCTATATTTCACAATTGTAAACCATGGTTAATGCGATAATCTATGTTTCACAACCGTAAACTATACTTAACACCGAAAACAATCATTTGCGATTGCAAAACATAGATTATCTGATAAATACAGTTTCACGATTTGTAAACTATAGTTTACAAACCGTTAACTATAGTTAACAATCTGATAAATATAGTTTCACAATTTGTGAAACTATGATTAACAACTCTTAACTATAGTTTACGATTGTAAACTATAGTTTATCAACAAAATCTATTGTTGACGCTTTATTACGGACAGATAAACTTAAATTAACATTCGTAAACTATAGTTAACAACCGTTGAATATAGTTTTACAGATGAAAACTATACTTAACGAATCGTTAACTATAGTTTACGGTTTGTAAACTATAGTTTACAGTCGATAAACCTAGTTTATCAATTGTGAAACTATGATTATCTCATTTTTGTGAATTTGGCGTGCCATAGTCTGTAATAAAGCGTTAACAATAGATTTTGTTGATAAACATAGATTCACGTTTGTAAACTATAGTTTACAATCGTAAACTATAGTTAAGAGTTGTTAATCATAGTTTCACAAATTGTGAAACTATATTTATCAGATCGTTAACTATAGTTAACGGTTTGTAAACTATAGTTTACAAATCGTGAAACTGTATTTATCAGATAATCTATGTTTTGCAATCGCAAATGATTGTTTTCGGTGTTAAGTATAGTTTACGGTTGTGAAACATAGATTATCGCGTTAACTATGGTTTACAGATGTGAAATATAGATTAACGTTGTTAACTATAGTTTACGGTTTGTAAACTATAGTTTACAACCGATAAACCTAGTTTATCGATTGTGAAACTATGATTATCTCATTTTTGTGAATTTGGCGTGCCATAAGTGTGCCTCGTAAAGCGTTGGTCGTGATTAGTAAAGGTTAAGATAGTGAGTTGTGGAGCGGGGGTTGTATATATACTTAGATACCTAGTGAAAAGTAAATATACCAATATCTGGTAAAACTACTTTTAAGGTTTTTTTAACAGTGGTTCAAATGTAAGTACAACTGTCAATCAGAAGCTCAAGCACCTTTCAAATATCAACTGCGGAGTACCTGTGTGTCCAATAAGAATGTTTTAACAAAATATTTTTTTTGTAAATGACCATTGGCAGGGTACATGTAGGTCAATATACGAGTAGTTTGGGGGACGTGGTCTTTGATGTTGAAAAGGCCTGGTTGTAGAGAGTGTTGTAGATGTTATTGGTTTTGGTAGAATTTTGTAAATCCTAATGAGTCATATGTCTCCCAGTTGATTTGATACGTTATTCCTACGTTCAACTAGCTGCAGAACTATAGCGTAATGGTTTTCTAGTCTTTGACCATAACGCTACAGATCCAATTATGCAAAAAATGTGCAATTTAGGGCGCAAGATTTTTTGCGTAGTTTTGGGGAGATTTTTTTTTTCTTTTTCCAGCATTGGTCAACAACAATCTCTCACTCCCTTATTATAGACACATTCTTTAACCAATCTGAATTTTTTTATCCACCTCCCAACCCTTTTTATAGTCTTCTCTGCAAGTGAAAAACTCGCTTGATTTTGGCTAATGGATAATGGATTGCTGAAAATTCACCTAAAGCGACTTTATCGAGTTTGGGAAGTGGATAAACTAAACAGATTGGTTAAAGAATGTGTTTAGAATTAGGGAATGAATGGTACTTAATTGAAAAATGCTGCAAAGTGGAGAAATTCTCCCCAAAAGTGCGCAAAAAATCTTTCGCCGTAAATTGCCCTTTTTTGCATTACGGGATCTGTATGGTTATATGGTCAAAGATTAATATATAAAACCATAATGCTACAGTTTTGCAGCTAGCTGTACGTTCGAATTATTTCTAAAATGTGCCAATCGATATAGCCAGTATATCCAAAAAAGATGAAGTCATAAGTTTACAACATCAAGAAAAGACCAGAAAAGCCTCACACTGAACTCTTGAAATTGCGTGGTTGATTTGTTTATTTTAGTTAACTATCAAAACAGCCAGATATTGAACTAATAATTGATAACAGAATTATGTGTTTTGTTGTAGTTTCCTATTAAAGCAGATTTTAATTTTATTGAATTTAGTAATTGAAACTGTTAAAGTTTAATTCTGAAATTAATTTTCAGACAAATAACAAAACTCCAAAGATGATATACACTGCCTCAGTGCATAAGATCTTTTGCATGGTCAGCAACCAATTCAACTTAAACAAGATGTGTTTGTGAAATACTGATGCCCCCGTATGGCAACATAGCGAAGATTAACCTTTCTCAAATGCAGATCAAATATGTTGGTACATGTACCTAAAGTAAGGCCTTTTCACAAGAAATACAAATGTTAAATATAAAACCCTATCACCACCTGTTCAAAGGTCATGACCAAGGTTAACATTTTAAAAGGTAGGACAAACTCCGGGGTCAATGTCAAATGGTCGAGGTTGCTGGTTTAAAGAAAGGCCTTGTCTCAAAGATTACATGTGGGAAGTATGAAAGCGCTGGCCCTTACCGTTCCAGTTATGGCCAATCTTAAAAGTTTGTAAAAAGTAGGTCAAACTCCAAGGTCAAGGTCAAAGGGTCAAGGTTCTTGATATCCAAGGAAAGGTCTTGTCACAAAGATTACATATGTGAAACATGAAAGCTCTAGCCCCTACTGTTCAAAAGTTATGGCCAAGGTTAAAGATTGTAAAAAGTAGGTCAAACTCCAAGGTCAAGGTCAAAATGGTTGATATCCAATGAAAGGTCTTCTCACAAGGATTACATATTTAAAGCATGAAAGCCCTTTCCCTCACTGTTCAAAAGTTATAGCCAAGGTTAAAGTTTTTTTCGTAAGTTCGGAAATCTCCAAGGTCAAAAGGTCAAAATTGTTGGTTTCAAATGAAAAGTCTTGCCAAAAAGAATTGATATTTAAAATATGAAATTCCTAGTATCTACCGTTTAAAAGTTAGGGCCAAATGAAAAGTCTGGAGTTTTTGTGTAAAAATGGGTCAAACTCCAAGGTTAAGGTCAAAGGGTCAAGGTTCTATTAAATATGTGAAGTATGAAAGCCCTAGTTCTAACCCTTCAAAAATAATTTTCAAGGTTGTATTTTAAAGTAGTTTAAACTCCAAGGTCAAGGGGTCAACATTCTTGGTACCCAATAAAGTGTCTTTTCACAGGGATTGCATATGTGAAGAATGAAAGCCCTAGCACTTACCGTTCAAAATTTATATCCAAGGTTAATGTTTTTTTCATAAATACAGAAATATCCAAGGTCAAGGTTCAAAGTTGTTTTGCAATGTGTCTTTTACAAAGAATATATGCTGTCAAGTTTAAATGTCCTGTTATCTACTGTTCAATAGATATGGCCAAAGTAACAGTTCAAAATTTTTGTGTAAAAGTTGGTCAAACTCCAAGGTCAAAACGTCAAAGAAGAAGGTATGCTTTCCATACAAATTTTGCCCTGTGATTTTCCAAAAATTGAAACTGGTGTTCAAGTTGAAAACTTATGCTTTTTAAATAATTGACATTCAATGCAGAAAAATCATACAAGTCCTTTTTCTCACATGTGTTTGTAAATGCTAATCATGACGTCATAAACATTTTCTTAAAAAAAAAATTTTTGGAATTTTCTTTTATAACATGTCCACAGGCATCGCCCAAAAAATGAGATATGTTGTGTTATTGAATTTTGCACAAAATATCAAAAAATTAATTATTTTACACTGTTTTCCAAAAAAATCACCCTTGAAATCTGCCATTTTGCTTTTTCTGTTGAAAATAGAGAAATGCTTCACATTAATGACTTCATATTTGCAGAATGGTAAACCTTCATGCCATATTCTTTCCTGATTTATCAGAGTCATTTATTTAACTAATATTTAAGCCAGTTTCAAAACGTTTTGATGTCATAGGGCACAATAAAGCTAAAACCATACCTTCTTCTTTGGTGGTACGAAAGGTCTTGTCACAAGAAATACACATGTGAAATATGAATGCCAAAGCTCCACTAAATCAAAAGTTATGGGCAATGTTAAAGTTTTTGCGGAAAAACGGACAGACAGAAAGACAGACAGACAAAGAGACAGACGGATGGACACGACAATATACAATTATTGTTTTTGAGGTCATTATTTGTCAGGTATTACCGAGGCCAAAGGCCTTAAAATTTATAGCTCGTCACGAGTAGACCGAAAAACGTCAATAACTGTTATATTAAATGATCAGGAATTTTACAACACTTTTGACACTTTCAATCTTGTCTCCATCAAATAAAAACACCCTTAATATTTATTTAATTAATAACTAGTAATTAGAAATGGAAAACAATATTATTAAGCAATCAATACTCAACCATTTACTTTCAAAAGCCTTTAACCTCCTTGGTACTGGTGTCTGACACGTTTACATTCACACCGACACATGCTTTGAAACACGCAATCTGATTGGTCGAAAAAAATGTAAGCAAATCTATGGTTAGTCAAGAGGAAAAACCCGGATAAACCCTCCAGAACGTCATATGAGGTGAACTCACTCTGAGGTACATCTCAGGAAAAGGCGTCTAGACCAATCAGAGAGCACCAAAATTCCTGATCATTTAATAAAACTTTATACCCCCGAAACTTCGTTTACGAGAGCATAAAAATGAATTACATATATATAAGTAAAGCATATAAACTTTTAATTTAATGACAATGAGGAAAATCAATTAAGATTGAAAAACTGTCATCCAAACAACAAAAGTCATTAACAAAAATTAATTATCTTGACAAAAACCTTTTTTTCAGTCACAATTTTCTTTATAAAAATAAAATAAAAATAGCACTCCAATATATATATATACACTTATATCCAATAACAGTATAATAAACATGTTTTCCAATCTTCTGATACAACTTTGCAAAGTCCTAATATCATTGATTTTTTCCCAATGTTCCTTTTTTAAAAAAATTTTTAACAACTGCACTTTAACAACTGCACTATACACATTAACATTGGAGACATAATTAACTTAATGCAATGTACTTTATAAAATCATAATAAGGTAAATGTTGCTATTTTAGACCAGCCATGACTTATAAGTTAACAACCAATAAAACAGATCAATTTCTCATCTACAACATCTTTTATGGGAGATTCTTAGGTCACGCTTTTCTCTTTCTAGCAGCTTTACTGGCTGAGCCCTGACCAGGGTTATACTGGTCTCCATCTCCCTCGTTATCCGAGGCATACACTCGCTCAGGTTCAAATTTCTTCCTCTTCTTCACGCGGAGTTTCTTCTTCTCTTCGGGGCTCTTCTCCTCATCCTCGTTTATTTCCGTGTCCTTCTCCTCCTCTGAATTATTATCTTCAGAAACATCTTGGTGTGTTCTGCGTTTGTAAGTATATTTGCGAGGAATTGATTTTCGGGCTTTTCTTGGTGTCCTCGAGTTACTCTGATCAGAATCTTTCTCGTCATCTGTTTCAGAGTTTATTGTCTCTGAGAGATTCCCCTCCTGTCCTCTCACTGTGGCCTCGGACTCCGGCCTGGTTCGATCACTGAGCTCATTAAGAAAGCTTACCGCTTCTTCTTCTAAGTTTTCTGTGCTTTCTATGCTCTCATTTAATCCATGCTTCACCTTCTTATGGCGGTTAAGATTTCCTGAAAAATTTCAAATATTCAACTTTCTGTAACATCTTTATATCTGTTTTTCTAGCACTTGTTCTGAACACATATTCCAAACTGCTTGTTATCATTTTTTCAGAAGTTTTGATTTATTTTTTTTGGTAAAAAAAAAAATTGCAAACCTTTATACATGAATGTCAAACAAATTATATTTTGTTTCTGTACAAAAACAAAGCTACTTATTTTTCTGTAATAAAACATATTGATTTTGTTTTCTAAATCTGTCAGATATACACAAACCAAAACAAAATTTGGGGATTTAAGTCTGTTATGTCTTCAATGTGAACTAAACTGGTCAAGTTAAATACTGGTGATGAAAGATAAATCAAAATGAAATATTGTTACAATCATCAATGGCTATTCGTCATTATTTGTCATACCGGCACTTGAAATTTATAGCTTACCGTGTGAAAATCTCTATAAACTTAAACAATTCTTACGTCTGGTTTCAAATGAACCTTAAAAATATTTATGACAAACAACAATTCTCATATAAATTTCTTAGAGTTGTTTTCATCATATCTTCATTAATCAGACACGTCAAAATGGACATTTATTATGATAAGACTTTTGTGTATTTGAATAAGCATACTGTAAACCAATGTTGATTTTATTTTTGAAATTAATAAAGAAATTTAAGTCCTCCATTAAAGAATCCATGTACTGTGTAGTATTTTATATGTGATCATGAAATATGGTCCATATGGAAGTGCCTTATAAGATCCAGAATTAACTGTGACAGAGTGATCTTCCCTGATTGTACTGTGTGACATCATAACTATGTCTATTGTCTGGACGATATAGATACAAATAAAGCTTTATCTACCTCTAAGTGTAAAAGAGCTCCCACAGAAACAGATGTAGGGCTTGGAATTGTTGTGCATGTGAAGATGGCCCTGGAGATTATGAAGACGGCCAAACTGTTTTCCTTAAATATAAAAAATTTCAAACATATAAAAAAAGAGTTTAATACTTAATATACATTTTAAGAATATAACATGTATAATGCAAATTCTTCTACATTTCCAACTATCAATGATGCTCTGATATACCCAACAAACTAGACAGTGATTCCTTAAATAATATCTCAATAACATATACTCTGCAAGAAAAAAAAATGATCATATGGGAATATAGCAATAGAAATTCTTCTCACCACAGAACTGGCATTCGAATGGTTTTTTTTCAGCGTGCACCACCATGTGAGCTTTCAGAGTCTGCGGCTGTGTAAATGTCTTCCCACAAGTCTCACATTTATATTTCCGTTCAGCGTTGTGAATCAGTAAGTGACGCTGCATGTTGGCTTTCTGATTGAAGCAGCGGCCACAGTGGGGACACTCCCAGGGTTTCTTGCCGCTGTGTGTGTACTCATGAACCTTCAAGTGGTGCTCCTAAAGATTTGAATAATAAAATCTGAGTTGTTCTGTTTTAATTGAATAATTTTTTTATACTCACAAATATTTATAGCTTGACAAGTCTAATTATTATGGTACTTTAAAAGCCTGGTAAATCCAATTCAATTCAAGAGTGTATACTTACTTTATAGAAATCCATCCCACATTCAGAACATATATAAGGTCTCGCTCCTTCGTGAGACAAAAGATGATCTTTCAGCTGACTTGGATATCTAAAATATTTGTTACAGTATTTACAAACAAGGTTTGGAAAATTTCTGTGGTAGCCCATGTGAAGTTTCAGTGCCCTCTGACTATCAAATTCCTCTCCGCATTCAGAACACCGATTTTCCTCTCCTTTTTCATGTTTCTCTTTGTGGATTTGAAGGTCTTCAGGAAAAGCAAATCCCATTCCACAAGTGTCACACCTATGGGGAAGCTGCTCAGATAGATGTACTGCCTGATGTCTCTTTAAGTGAGAAACCTGAGTAAAGCTTTTGGAACAGATGGAGCACACATGAGGCTTGACGTTGTCATGTGTTAACATGTGAGTGTTTAAATGACTCAACTGTTTGAAATATTTTCCACACACCATACACAAATGAGGCTTGATGCCATTGTGATCCAGGATATGCGTAACAAGGTTGTGTTTGGTGGTGTAGGACTTCTCACACAAGTGACACTGCCACCGTTTCTGATCACCACATTGGACTAACTGAGAGTCGTCAATCCTAATATTTATTTCTAGTCTGTCTTTGTTTTCTTCCTTGTCAGATTTTGAATTTTGTTCAACAGGCTCATTTTGGTTTTCTTTCCCTTCTTTCCTACCTTTGGGTAAGACTTTAGACTTGTCTGGAGAATTTTTGTTCTGATTAGAAGTTTGGACTACATTCTGGATCCCAGAATCCACTGTGGTAGTTCTCGCAGGAGCTCCTTGCTTTTTATTTGCAATGGATATGGTTACCATGGTAGCATTATCTGTCACAGTGGTTGTCATGACAGCTGGTGCTGTTGCTTTATTAAAACTCGGAGATGTTATTGCAAATGGCTGATGTAGCTTCTGTTTGAGTTTTTTAAGATCACTGTTGTTCAGCTGTCCTTTTTCATTCAGAACAAAATCTCGTAGGAAGTCCAGAGGATTTGATGACACGTCCTCCTCTTCTCCCTCACAGTAGGAAGCAGATGGAAACTCCCCCTGGTGATTTGTAGGTCTGGTAAGTTTTCTTCTAGGGTCATGGTATGGCCAGAAGTGCTGCACACCAGAGTCCATAAAGGAGACATCATCAGCATACAGAGTGGCATCACACTGGTACAGAGGCTCAAAGGAATAATCCACAAAAGGTTTGGGATTGTTAATCAACAATGGATATGGTCTGGCTAGGTTTCCTTTCAATATGAATTTCACTTTGCAATTTGGAGATCTTCCTTGACTAAGATTTAAGGTATTTGGCATAGATTTACTTTGCTGTGAAGTTTGAGTGTTATGTCCTCTGAGGTGAGACAATTTAGCAGCCATGGATTTTCTTTCAACAGTTAAACCTTTGTTAGCACCCTGTTTGGTAAAATTCTCTTCATGTAATCTGTAGAAGGATGGGGACAGGATCTTGTCCTTGGATGCCATGCTATCAACAGCCTCTTGACAACCCCCCAGGCTTCCTCCATCTTTGAGGTGACCTTGAACTGTCCTTCCCATAACATATGGAAGATTTTCTCCACCCTGATGAGGTGGAAAAACCTCCTCTGAAAAATGCCTTGATTGTTGCAGATAAGACAGCCCTTCAGCCAGCTGGTTTAAGGTGGCTTGCTGGATTTCCTGGTGATTGTTATAGCTTCCAAAGTAAGGACTATAGCAGGAGGAGACCTTTGTCAGGTTGTCTGTAACAGAACTGTGGGGGACTCCTCCCACTGGACCTAAGGCACCATGCTTTAGATGTGCAGAATGAAGTGAAGTTGAACTCAGATCAATGCCACCAGTACTGTTGGGGACCAGTTTGCTGCTTGCTAAGTTGCCAAGCTGAGAAACTGCCTGTTCTTCTTTGGAAGCTTCTGGAGTGTGGGATCCAGAAAACAGAAGAGGGTGTGGATGGTTAGTGGCAGATCTGAGGCTGTCTAGATTCTGAGAGGCATCATATCGCTGATACGGAAAACCAGGTGCTAAAAAAGAACCAAATAATCAGTATGTCAGCTTTTGTACTGTGCATGAATCATTACCAATTGCATGGATTTGATGTAATTACAAAAAGAAAATTGTATTACCTGGCTGAGGGTTGGAGAACTGGCCAGGGTTGGATAAGTAAGGGTAGGTAAGGGAGGTGGGTCTCTCTTCCAGGTCAGGGGAGGAGCAGAAGTTTGCTTCATGATGGAGGTACGGGAAATCTCGTCCTGGCACACTGTCCATGGTCACATCTTACCTGTAAAATGTTTACAATTAAGTCATTGCCATCACAAAGTAACAGGCCTGAATTTAAGGTTGATAAGAGTGATTTTCAGGAACTTTCTTAAACTGAAGCAAGCTCTTTACATTAAAAGTGAAAAGTGCTTGTAAACTTTGAAAAATTATATTAAAAGTACATGTATTGAGTTAATATATTTCATTTTCTTAAAAAGGGGGGATACTAGTACCTGATGATTTACAAACTGAAAGCTACACATAGTTTCAATTTATTAATGTTAGTTCAAAAGGCAGATCACTCAACTGCATAAAATACACTTGGCTAGCGAAGGTTCTTCGTTGTATAAAGGGTCATTAATATATGGTAAAAATAACATCTTATGGACAACTTTTGGGAACTTTTATAATCTATGCATAGACTCAGCAAGGGTTTTACTCCCTTTATTTTCCCTATACAAAATAATTGTTATGCTCTTATGTAGCACACAGAAAAACATTATCAACAAATAATATGTGAACACCTGCTTGCATTAATGTATGCTAGGGATGTCAAAATTGTCAATAATTGATATTCGAATATTCGATAGTAGTATTCGAATATATTCGAATATTCGATAAAATAAATACATCTTGCATTATAATATGTATATATCTTCACTCTCTTGTCAAGCAATATACCTTTTATATCATTATTTTGGAATAAAATTTCATGTAGAGTTTTGTAAATGCACTATAATTATATTCTTAAAATATTTTACAGAATATATAGTTTACATCCAAAATATAATAAACAAAATTTCCCACGAAAATTCAAAAGATTCTTTTAATAATTAAGTTCCAGATTAATTAATCATCTTACCAAAGTGTACACTGATAACCCTACAGATTTATACCACACAGAACAATTATCTAATGGAGAAACATTAAAAGGCTAAAAGCAATTACTTTTAGCTAATTAACTGATAATGATTTTAAATTATGTATACATAAATAAGGGATGTTTGTTACTTTCAAAATGTGTCGTTTCAACAACACAAACTAATTCTTTTCAACAACACAAACTAATTCTAAGTACTGGACACTGTTATACATCTAATTAAATGATCAAATGAATAATTTAAATTGTTTTAATGAACACACTCTTCACACCTTTAAGGTAATCCAAGAGGAGTGTCTTTTAATTTTGTTTTAATTAAAATCTTTTTGTTGGTTAACGATAAGAATTTGATTCAATTTCTGATAAAGCTTCAGTTTTTACCAGATTTTTTTTTCTTTTTGATGCTTGTATACTTTAAATACGAATATTTCATAATTTTATAGAATACCAACAAATGAATATTCGAATATAATATTTTGACAAATGTATGCTGATCTGATGAACATAGTGAGATACAATGTGTTCTCATTGCATTGCTTTCTATGAATGACTTTCTTCATGATTGTCGATTATTTCATTTGTTATGTATTGTTTTAATGCTATAACTTAGTATAAGACGTATGTCTTTTGCAATAAAGAAATTGAAATTGAATTGATTTATCCAGACCATTTTAAAGACTTAAAACTTTAATTCCTTTTTTTCAAATCTTATATACTTTAACTTTTTTTCATTGTTTATTTATTTCATTATTTATAAAAATTATTTTGGTTTTCCTAATCATTCAGAATCAAAATAATCTTGAAAAGAATTTCTATGAAAAAAAAGCATTTGCCTGTGCCAGATTGTTCATATAACACTAATATAATAGTACTATAACACCCCCTTCTCCATCTCTCTGAAAATGACTGCATTATTTGTTTACAAATTATAGTGTATTGATGACTTTATCTTCCTCGGTAATCAAAATAAATAAAAGTAAATTATTTTTACAGGAAAATTATATGATCCGCCCACGAATTTTATTTTACTTCACATCAATGCTCCTGGCTAAATTACATATCCCAATGCTAACAAAAAAAAAACAAAAAAACCCACACACAATACTATCGATCCATCTTAGTTTTATCACCTATTTTATTTTTCTCGAATAATTTGGAGCCGTGTTTAAACTGTTGAAGATATGAAAATGGAAAGAGAGAAAGATGGCGTCAAGTTCAAGATCGTTAAAAAATAAATGTTTGGCGAGTTTCGTAGAGTTTTGCTAAGGCATAGGACAAATTTTCTGTTTAATTAAAAGGAAAACGTATGCATCTACAATTATTAAAAAATAGTAAAAGATTATGGCTTTTGAACGCTTACCAAGACGCTGGATAGAGTGATGGGCGAAGACAAAAACTGGTTCTCGCTAACTAACGACATGAAGAAATGGAAACCAGATTTAGCACTGTTATCAAAAAAGTTATTTAATCACAAATTGTTTTTGTTTTTCATAACATGTATACGTGTTGCACACCTTATATATATTGACAATTTTTGAAAGCGCATCAAAAAGACATTTAAAATATAGAATAATGTGCCCTAGTATCATTTTATGATATATTTGAATCGGGCTCGATATATGTAAAAAAAAGTTTTGACAAATGGCGGGATAAATGAAAATTGGGCTGAACGTTATCAGCTGGTTATTTGGTCACCGAATGATATATTTTCCTAAAAGTACTTTAGCTTTTGATTTTTAAAACCCCTTTTGAACCCTATTGATTTTGATTTTAAAGGATCGAATGAGGATTAAAAGTCATAGTCAGAAATTCATGTAAATTGCTTAGAACAGTCTAGACGAACTCCAAAAACAGCGTGAACTCCAAAAAAGAAGTCTTTGGCTCCGTCATGCATGAACTGAATGGCTTCCGATGTAAACAAACGATGGATTGTCGTTCGCTTTCTCCACAAATACGACCGAATAATGGCTATATGTAGTAATTAAACTGTGACTGGATTTTAATTTTTGTTGAATAAATAATTGCACTTCTTAAATTATTTAGTGGATATTGACTTATTTATCCCTAGGTATTCCTGAATAATATTAGTGATTTAGGATATACGACATCGGATTCAATACAGTCGGTAAGAATTAATTTCTCTACTTAATTTATTGTCTCCTTGATTAAAATTTTATGCCATCCCTACAATAAAGATGTTTAAATTTTACTTTCAAGACACTTTTTAAAGTCGTATTTATTTTATTTTTAAAAAATGCATAATTTTCGCGGCGGAGCAGAGATACTAACAGGTACGTGCGTTTTGAGAAGACTTTTTTACCGTAATTTGAAAAGAGTGATTTAATTGTTCAAAGATTATAGTACGTTCTAAAACTGTTTTCATGATAATATATGTTCATATGTGATAACACTAAGGTAAATAACGATGGTGATAACTCACGCTCTCAATTCAGATGTGGTACAGGATTATATGACGAAATGATATTATAAATGGATAAAATTCGGTCAATATCTAACAGTTACAATATATATTATTCAGTTTTACATATTTTTCCATTTAATCGTGCATATTTAATTCCCAAACGTTAATTTTCTCTGTAATTGATCTAACTTGAAACGTGAACTTTGAAAGTAAATATCTCTCTTTTTGCAAATAAAATCAGAAATGTAACAAATACGATCTCTTCAGCAGCAGAGGAAATGTGGAAACTGAATGGATTCTCAGGTAGCTGTCACCGGATCAACTCTTATTTATAATTAAATCATCAATTCGTACTTTTTTAATTATTGGTAAGATGTATTTACAATATGGTTGCTCAATGCTGCTCTAAACATGCTAAAATCATTCGTACATGATAGACATGAAAGATAGAGGAAATTCGAGCAACTGAAAATTCGCCAGCGTCTCCTACTTACAAAAACACTTCTAAAATCAGTAAAAGTAGTTCTTAAATGATTAACTTAGTCACTGCAAAATAATTATCAATCACAGAGATGTTTTAATAAGATTAAAACCGTTTAATTTGAATTCTGTATCATACTTAATTGTACGAGGTCTGGCTGAAGCTCGAAGTTGGTCAACTTTGACTTAAAATTATAAAAAAATAAAAACTATTTGCACATGAAATCAAAAATCTAACAAATACGTTCTCTAGAGACATTTATTATAAATCAATTCTGAGAACTTACATTATTGTAAGGTACTTAGTAATCCAATTTTTTGCAAAAGCACTTTTTGTAAGAGCCCACTTTTCACGACTTTTCACCGTTTTTTGATATAACTGCGCATGCGTGGACTCGTTTTTTGGAGTCTTTTCTGGACTGAAATTCTCACTTCCGTTAACGCCGTTTTTGGAGTTCGTCTAGACTGTAGAATGGGTTCCAGAGAATGGCATTTGTAATGGATTTAGAGGTTAAGGATTGTCACCCTCTTTGGATTTACTAAGGGTAAAGGGAGAAACAGAGTCCCAAAAATGTGTTGTTTTTAATGTTAATGTTAATTACTTTAATGTTACACAAACTATACCAAAAGGGCATAGGTGGGAAATTTTACAATATTATAAATAATATGTACTCAAATACTAAATATTGTTGTAAAGATGAATCTTACTATAGTGAACATTTTATAGCTACACGTGGGGTTAAACAAGGAGATAATCTTTCCCCTATTCTTTTTAATATATTTATTGATGACTTCTACTCACACTTAATTAATTATAACACAAGTCCTCCTGAATTACAAAATATTGAAGTTGGACATTTATTCTTTGCAGATGACCTAATTCTCCTCTCTACTACAAAAGAAGGTCTCCAAAACTCATTAGACTGTCTCTCAGAATATTGCCTAAAATCAAAATTGACTGTTAACTCTGATAAAACTAAAGCAATGATTTTCTCAAATAAGAAAATTGACACAACTCAATATTGTTTTTATTATAATCATTTAATAGTTCATCTTGAACATGAATATAAATATCTAGGAATTATTTTTACTTATAATGGTAAGCTTAAGTATGCAGCTGAACAACTAGCTGACCGTGCAAGAAAAGCTTTTTATGCAATGAAACGCTCTTTACCTTTTCATAATAACTTATCTGTAAAAACTCTTTTAAAATTATATACTTCACTTATTGAACCTATCATTTTGTATAGTTCTGAAATATGGATTTCAGACTTTAATATTAATATAAACAATTGTGATCAACTACCTTTTGAAAAGATACAGCATTTAATATTTAAAGATATTTTGGGTGTACAGAGAAAAGCTTCAAATTTAGCCATTAAATATGAGCTAGGAACAGTCCCTATTTGTTGCAAAGCTGTCATCTCAATGTTTAAATACTATAAGAGACTAAAAAATGTTAAGAATAAAAATAGCACTAGAAATCAAATTCTTATTGCTGCTTCCTTAGAAGATGACAACTTATATAGTAATGGTGTAAAGGATAATTGGCAAAGTCAGATTGAAAAATTAAAAAAGAAACTTAATCTTCCATCATTAGATATAACTGATAACACATTCTGCACCTGCTTGAAGAATTTTTACATAAAAAATGCAGGGGTTCAAAATTTTTTTTGTCATGGTCAAGTCCAGGACTTGAGGAGTAAATTTTAGGCAAGTCCGAGGAAGAAATTTCAGAGTCCATATTTACCTATACATCATTAAATTTATGTAACTTATAATTTATTTTCATTTGTTGCATTGAATGAATAAAGACTATATGTATTAATATATGTTTTATTTTTCCTCCATAAACTGTCATGTAGTCATACATGAGTATTTCAACACAATACCAGACTGATAGATTACTTGTACATTACAATAACTTTTACAAATACTCACTACTGAATAAACCATCTGTTACAATAAATAGAAATTAGAATGTGCTGTAAGTCACAGCTAAAACCGAAATTTAACAAACTCATTGCCGTTTGTCATATACGAGGAAACATGAGGAATTGCGTAAAACAAGAGTCTAACCGCAACGGAAAATAAAAAAAAACGGATTGTATTTTCGAAACGTTCGTAATGTTTTATGGGTATTTTAACGCCCACAAACCCACATTTTTACTTAATACATTTGAGAATTTGCTTTATTTTTAGCTTTACGATCATTTTTTTAACTTATTAAAAAAGATAAACAAGAAACATAGCCAAGACCCAGGACTTTGGCGAATTCTAAATGCCGAGTCCGGATCCGGAATTTGTTAGTCCGGGACGTCGGGCTTGAGGATTTTTGAACCCCTGAAAATGTTAATTTGCAACTCCAGAACATTGAATTCTCCAAATGTGGTAAATTATTATTTTTCAGTCAAATTAGAAAGAATTATGAATTACAAGACTACTTAAAATATCCAATAAATAAAGCTATACGTTCTAAATTAACGAAACTGAGAATTTCTGCACATCCCTTGGAAATTGAAGTAGGCAGATATTCAAAGCCTTGTATCCCAAAAGAATCGCGTTTTTGTCACTATTGTAAAACTATTGTAGAAAGTGAAATGCATTTCATATATGACTGTCCCTTATATATAGATTTGCGAAAAAAGTACTGTTCTTTGAACATCTGTAATTTAAACGATAACATATTGAAAGAAAATCATTGTAAAGTATTATGTAATCCTGACAATGCAGTTCATTCTAGAAGGCTGTGTGAATTTTTATATGAATGTTTTGAATTGCGTTCCAAAAATAAAGCACAATTATAATATATATGTTTAATGCATATATTAGCTCATCACTGTCCATATTATACTGCTTGCATAATGATTATGTTTAATCTTCAAGTTGTTATACTCTGCAAAGTTGACTTCACTGATCCATACATTTGCAATTATGTATTTTATTACTTGTCTTTTATATGTAACATGGTTGTATGCCAACATGTTTGGTGAATCAATAAAGAAATTGAAATTGAAAATTGTTTTGTTACTATTGAAAAGTTTAGCGAAAGGTTTTACCGTTTTAGTACTAATGTATGAATTAAGAAGATTCGGTTGTTAAGTTAGTCCGAAATATCTGACGCTTTCCTAGCTTTTTCACGATTTTGATATTTGACATACCAGCAGGAACAGGCGCGGATCCAGGAATTGAAGTTAGAGGGGGCGCCAAAAGTAGGCAAGGGGTCTGGGGGCCGCCTTGAGGCCCCCAGTGGGTCCAGGGCAAAGGCCTGGTGGGGGCCCAGGGGGCGAAGCTCCTGGATTCTAGAGATTTTGTAGGGTAAAAATGAGGTCCACCAAGTATACATATTTACATTTTCTAGACGAAACTGTGATTTACGTTAATTTTGACAATTTTAGGGGGGGGGGGCGAACCCCTTAAATCCGCCACTGAACCCCCTGGCATGTAAAATATCAAAATCGTGAAAAAGCCAGGAATATGTCAGATATTTCGGACTGTTGTGAAGTAAACTAAAAGGACCCCCGCC